GCAAAGGCTAAGGTTTAGACCTGTATTTGTATAATACTGTTTGCCACTCAGGGAATAGCCTGCCTGAATCAGATGTACTCAAATGTGGATGCTCTGTTTTGGGAATAATGCCCCAGTCTTTCAAGGGAACTAGGCCTTTTTCTTTAAAGAAGTATTAAGTGGTGGCTGGTTTAGAATAAAAAAGGCATTGATAGATTTACTGGGCTCTCTAGTATCAACAGAAGAGACATTAGGCAGGCTCACATTAATGCATCCAGGTCACTTGTATGCTGGGTTTGGATTTAGCTGGACTGCCTGTTAAGTAGAGGAAGCAGGGGAAGCTGGTGAAGCATGGCTGCCTCTAGAACTAGATGTCCTGGACTCATGAGCCCTTCTGATCACTAAAAGAAGAGCTGTTGAATGGAGCTGGAGAGTGCACACCATTTTCATCTTGTCCATGTTACTGTCCTGATGAAGCAAAGAACGACATCATCTTCTGCAGCCAGGTCTTACCTTTTTGCTTTCAGGACATGATGAGTAGTGCTGAGGATGTTCTGTGCAGTGATTCATGATTGAGACATTTTCCTGAGATCAATGCTGGAGAGATCACTGCAGATGCTGCAAAGCTCAGTACAGAGCAAACATTCTACATGTGCACTGGTTATGCCCCTAAATGGCACATTTTTAATAAGGCTTTTATTATGGATTCCAAAATCCCAAAAGACTTGAGTAGAATAAAACTAAATGGCATTTACTTTTCTAAAACATTGATGTCATAAATAGTTGTAATTTTTTTTTATAAAATATTGTTTCTATCTTTTTTTCATTCTCCAATGCATCTCAGTGCTACTGATCTCCTTCATCCATTTTCAATCACTCACTGTCTGCATGCATTCACCCCAGCACAGGCAAAACATCATTGCTCTGGACCAGTTTCCTGATAGTGACAATGGTGGACCAAATTGTGTGTCAGGAAGACCACACACAGACTTAAATATGCATATTTAAATATATTGAAAATTACTTTTAATATTACAGTAACATGATAAAGCTTATAATAGTTTTATTTATTGAGGTTTCTTTTTATATAATTTACCAGAGTTTAGATGAAACCTTAGCAATGGCTTTTACAAACTATTTCATCAGCAAAACAAAGTTTTTTCTCAACATAATATGAGATGCTGTGCTTTTTCAAAATGAATCTGTGACTAAGTTTTAGGTATTGAATGTGGATCTCCCATTAAGATTTTAACATATTTTAAAATGTATGGGATCTGTAGTAATGTAAGCTGTAACTACTACAACCCACAATTCAATAAAGCTTAATGCAGGAAAAAACCCAAAACAAATTTAAAAAAATATGTAAATAATTATACTGTACATTGTAAGAAAATGGTTGTGTACTATCCTAAATTTTCTTGTGGTTTCTAGCAAAATATTTTTTTAATTATTCTAGTTGCATATGACTGACATATATGCACAGTATAAAGAACAGTTTCCCATTTACAGATTGTCCTGAATGTGTCAGCTTTAAATCTACATGGTGTTCTTCAGCTAGGACTAGCAAAAGAACAATTTTCATATTTACATTGTTTTCAAAGCAACAAAGCAACAAACGCCTGGTTGCAAGACATATCATATGAAATTCAGTAATTGTCTGACACATCACAAGTTGCTTTGCCTTTGAAATGCTTTGAATATGTTTCATTCATAGCTCCCTAGAACATTACTAAACATTGAAAAAAGCAAGTTACAAAGTCCATCTATTAATAAACTGTATATGTATATATATATATATTTATATATATATATATACACTATATTGCTAAAAGTATTGGGACACCTGCCTTATGCACATGAACTTTAGTGACATCACAGTCTTAGTCCATAGGGTTCAATATTGAGATGCTCACCCTTTGTAGCTATAACAGCTTCAACTCTTCTGGGAAGACTGTCAACAAGATTTAGGAGTGTGTCTGTGGGAATGTCTGACCATTCTTCCAGAAGTGCATTTGTGAGGTCGGCACTGATGTTGGACAAGAAGGTCTGGCTCACAGTCTCTGCTCTAAATCATCCCAAAGGTGTTCTATTGGGTTGAGGTCAGGACTCTGTGCAGGCCAGTCAAGTTACTCCACCCCAAACTCGCTCATCCATGTCTTAATTGACCTTGCTTTGTGCACCGGTGCGCAGTCATGTTGGAACAGGAAGGGGCCATCCCCAAACTGTTCCCACAAAGTTGGGAGTATGAAATTATCCAAAATGTTTTGGTATGCTTACTTAAAAGTTCCCTTTACTGGAACTAAGGGACCAATCCCAACCCCTGAAAGATAATTCCACACCATAATCCCCCTCCACCAAACTTGGCACAATGCAGTCAGGCAAGTACTGTTCTCCTAGCAACCTCCAAACCCAGATGTGTCCATCAGATTGCCAGACAGAGAAGCATGATTTGTCACTCCAGAGAATACATCTCCACTTCTCTAGAGTCCAGTGGTGGCGTGCTTTACACCTCTGCATCTGACGCTTTGCAAGCCCATTCCATGACACTCTCTATGCACTGTTGTTGTGCTAATCTGAAGGCCACATGAAGTTTGGAGGTCATTAGCTATTGATTCTGCAGACAGTTGGTGATTTCTGCGCACTGTGCGCTTTAGCATGCTGTTAGGAATGGACTGGCCAGCAATGGTGGGACTCACCTGCCTTTTGATCTGCAGTACCAGGGCTGGCCAGCGGGTGCTCCCAGCAATCAGAGACTCAACCTTTCAGCCAGCTAACACCTGGAACTGATGATACTGGGGTATTTAAGGGATGGCCAGACTTGCAGACTCTGCCTTGGTGTTGTGTTTGTCCTGGGCCCTGTATCATGTCCTGCATCCTGTTTCTGTTCCTTTGCTGACTTCTCCTGCTCTGATCCTGGCTTGTGACCCTGACCATCCCTCTGTCTGACCCTCTGTACTACGCTGCTTGCTACCTGTTCTGATCCCTGGCTTGTGACCCGGACCATCCCTCTGCCTGACCCTCTGTACTATGCTGCTTGCTACCTGCTGAACCTGGCCTGTGACCCCGACCATTCTCCGCTTGCTCCCCCTGTACCTACCTGCCCAATTGATATTGACCCGGCCTGCCTGACGACGCTTGCTTGTATATACTGTTATCTGTGGGTGGTTTGGTTTGGTTTGTTTGCACCGTATTATGTTTTAGTATTGCACTGCGTTTATGTTTGTACTGTTAGTGTTAATAAATTATATTGTTTATAACATATCTGAGGTCTGCGTTTCCCTGCTTCAGTCACACACCTCTGGTCATACCTGGGAGCCCTGACATTACACCAAGGCCAATCCTGACCAGAAGTGGCTGCACAGGGAAGCCATCTTGGCTTGTTGATGGGAAGGATGGATCTTGAGGAGGTTGAGTATTTATATCTGCTAGTGTTTGATGACAGGGAGTATGCTTATCAAACTCTGAAGGAGTATACCCGGGATGAATTGCTAGAATGTATACGGCTCGCTCATGTTCTAGTAGATCAGGGCACAGTGTTCTCTGAGGTGCAGCCATTGATTGAGGTTTGTGCAGAGTTGGTTTCATCTGGTTCCCCCGAATGCAGGGATGAATTTTTGCCACCATTTAGTGCAGACCAGGTAGAGTCCCTGGTGTGGTTATTAGAGGATGATGTGGGTTACTTTCTGGAGCGTTATTCCACATGTTCACCACAGACACTGAGAGATTGTATAAACGCAGTGCAGTCATTGACCAGACAGACTTTGTGTAAGCTCAGCTTTGTTCAACCCCTACTGCAGACATGGACAGATTTGTTGCACCCAGCCTCAGTCAGCTTACAAAGACCCAGTCCTGCTTCTAACTCTACTCCTGTATTCCCACCAGCTCCTCCAGTTACAGCCCAGTATACTTGGCTATCTACCGCATGTCAGTACCCTGTTCCCACTCGCTGCACCTATCCTGCCTTTAACCCTGTAAAAAAGCCCCTCTGTAGCAACTGCTCCCTCTCCTGTTCCATCCTCCAGTTCTTCTCTGTCTCCAGCTGCTCCATTCGTTTGCAGACCTGCGTTTACTTGCAGTGCTCCAGTAGTTAAAACCAGAAAAAAGCGAAAATTCTTTCCAACCAATACCATCCTGCCAGTATCCAAACCGGTGAGCCTGCCTTCCGTGGTTCAGACTGATGCCTGTACGCAGCCTGATGCCTCTACTCGGCCTGAAGCCTCTACTCGGCCTGAAGCCTCTACTCGGCCTGATGCCTCTACTCGGCCTGAAGCCTCTACTCGGCCTGATGCCTCTACTCGGCCTGATGCCTCTACTCGGCCTGAAGCCTCTCCTCAGCCTGAAGCCTCTACGCGGCCTGAAGCCTCTACGCGGCCTGAAGCCTCTCTACTCGGCCTGATGCCTGTACTCGGCCTGATGCCTCTCTTCAGCCTGAAGCCTCTACTCGGCCTGATGCCTGTACTCGGCCTGATGCCTCTCTTCAGCCTGAAGCCTCTACTCGGCCTGATGCCTCTACTCGGCCTGATGCCTCTACTCGGCCTGATGCCTCTACTCGGCCTGAAGCCTCTACTCGGCCTAATGCCTCTACCCAGCATGATGAACTGATCCAGCCTGACGATCCTATTAGGCCAGTTGACTCGATGCCCGCTGTTGATCCAGATGATCCGGTACCTGATCCGGTGCCCGCTGTCGTGCCAATTGACTCAGAGCCCGCTGTCGTACCTGGTGACTCGGTGCCCACTGCCTTGCCAGATGACGCGGTGCCCGCTGGCAAGCCAAATGACCTGATGCCTGGTGACCTAGTGTCCGCTGTCATACCTGATGACCCGATGCCCGCTGTCGAGCCAGACAATCCGGTACCTGATGACCCGGTGCCCACTGTCGTGCCTGTTGACTCGGAGACCACTGCCTTGCCAGATGACGCGGTGCCCGCTGTCGAGCCAAATGACCTGATGCCTGGTGACCCGATGCCCGCTGTCCAGTCAGACGATCCAATGTCTGACCCAGTGCCCGCGGTCATACCAGTTGACTCGGAGCCCACTGCCTTGCCAGATGACGCGGTGCCCGCGGTCGAGCCAAATGACCTGATGCCTGGTGACCCGATGCCCGCTGTCCAGCCAGACGATCCAATGTCTGACCCAGTGCCCGCGGTCATACCAGTTGACTCGGAGCCCACTGCCTTGCCAGATGACGCGGTGCCCGCTGTCGAGCCAAATGACCTGATGCCTGGTGACCCGATGCCCGCTGTCCAGCCAGACCATCCAATGTCTGACCCAGTGCCTGCGGTCATACCAGTTGACTCGGAGCCCACTGTCGTGCCTGGTGTCTCGGTGCCCGCCGCTCCGCCTGGGGGCCCGAGACCTGTTGCTCCGCTTGGGGGTCCAGCGCCCGCCGCTCCGCCTGGGGATCCGGCGCCCGCCGCCCCGCCTGGGGGCCCGAGACCTGTCGCTCCGCCTGAGGGCCCGAGACCTGTCGCTCCGCCTGGGGGTCCGGCACCTGCCACTCCGCTTGAGGGCCCGAGACCTGTCGCTCCTCCTGGGGGTCCGGCGCCCGCCGCTCCGCCCTGAGGGCCCGAGACCTGTCGCTCCACCTGGGGGTCCGGCGCCCGCCGCTCTGCCTGAGGGCCCGAGACCTGTCGCTCCGCCTGGGGGTCCGGCGCCCGCCGCTCCGCCTGAGGGCCCGAGACCTGTCGCTCCTCCTGGGGGTCCGGCGCCCGCCGCTCCGCCTGAGGGCCCGAGACCTGTCGCTCCGCCTGGGGGTCCGGCGCCTGTCGCTCCGCCTGAGGGCCCGAGACCTGTCGCTCCGCCTGGGGGTCTGGCGCCCGCCGCTCCGCCTGAGGGCCCGAGACCTGTCGCTCCTCCTGGGGGTCCGGCGCCCGCCGCTCCGCCTGAGGGCCCGAGACCTGTCGCTCCATCTGGAGGTCCGGCGCCCGCCGCTCCGCCTGGGGGCACGATGCCTGTCGCCCCGCCTGGGGGCACGATGCCCGGCGCCCCGCCTGGGGGCACGATGCCCGTCGCCCCGCCTGGGGGCACGATGCCCATCGCCCCGCCTGGGGGCCCGATGCCTGTCGCCCCTCCAGGGGGCCCGATGCCTGTCGCCCCGCCTGGGGGCCCGATGATGCCTGTCGCCCCGCCCGGGGGCCCGGTGCCTGTCGCCCCGCCCGGGGGCCCGGTGCCTGTCGCCCCGCCCCGGGGGCCCAGAGCCTGCCGCCCCGCCCGGGGGCCCGGTGCCTGCTGCCCCGCCCGGGGGCCCGGTGCCTGCTGCTCCGCCTGGTGGCCCGCTGCCTGCTGCTTCGCCTGGTAATCCGATGTGCCTCTGCCCGGAGTCCTGCCCGATGTGCCTCTGCCCGGAGTCCTGCCCGATGTGCCTCTGCCCGGAGTCCTGCCCGATGTGCCTCTGCCCGGAGTCCTGCCCGATGTGCCTCTGCCCGGAGTCCTGCCCGATGTGCCTCTGCCCGGAGTCCTGCCCGATGTGCCTCTGCCCGGAGTCCTGCCCGATGTGCCTCTGCCCGATGTGCCTCTGCCCGGTGTGCCTCTGCCCGGTGTGCCTCTGCTCGATGTGCCGCTGCCCGGAGTCCAGCCCGGTGTGCCGCTGCCCGGAGTCCTGCCCGGTGTGTCAGTCTTTGATATCCCGCCAGTTGCCAGACCCGGGCGGTTGAACATTTTGCCCAGCTAGGACTGTTTGGAGCGTCCTGAGGCCGCTCCTTGGGGGGGGGGTACTGTTAGGAATGGACTGGCCAGCAATGGTGGGACTCACCTGCCTTTTGATCTGCAGTACCAGGGCTGGCCAGCGGGTGCTCCCAGCAATCAGAGACTCAACCTTTCAGCCAGCTAACACCTTGAACTGATGATACTGGGGTATTTAAGGGATGGCCAGACTTGCAGACTCTGCCTTGGTGTTGTGTTTGTCCTGGGCCCTGTATCTGTCCTGCATCCTGTTTCTGTTCCTTTGCTGACTTCTCCTGCTCTGATCCTGGCTTGTGACCCTGACCATCCCTCTGTCTGACCCTCTGTACTACGCTGCTTGCTACCTGTTCTGATCCCTGGCTTGTGACCCGGACCATCCCTCTGCCTGACCCTCTGTACTATGCTGCTTGCTACCTGCTGAACCTGGCCTGTGACCCCGACCATTCTCCGCTTGCTCCCCCTGTACCTACCTGCCCAATTGATATTGACCCGGCCTGCCTGACGACGCTTGCTTGTATATACTGTTATCTGTGGGTGGTTTGGTTTGGTTTGTTTGCACCGTATTATGTTTTAGTATTGCACTGCGTTTATGTTTGTACTGTTAGTGTTAATAAATTATATTGTTTATAACATATCTGAGGTCTGCGTTTCCCTGCTTCAGTCACACACCTCTGGTCATACCTGGGAGCCCTGACACATGCGCTGACCCTGCTCTATCATTTTGCACGGCCTACCACTTTTCTGTTGTTCCAAGTTGCTTCCACTTTGTTATAATACCACTAACAGTTGACCGTAGAATATTTAGTGGCATGGAAATGTCACAGATGGTGGCAACCTGTCACGGTACCATGCTTGAATTCACTGAGCTCCTGAGAGTGACCCATTCTTTCACAAATGTTTGTAGAAGCAGTCTGAATGCCTAGGTGCTTGATTTGCTACACATGGAAGTGATTGGAACACCTGAATCCAATGATTTGGAGGGGTGTCCCAATACTTTTGGCAATATGATGCATATATATATATATATATATATATATATATAGATAGATAGATAGATAGATAGATAGATAGATAGATAGATAGTAACCACTTGAGTTTGAAGTGCTAATAAAAAATTGCACAGTAGCTACTGGTTCCAGTTCCATTTTCAAATGCCTCCTGGACACACACACACGCACACAGTAAATACATAAAAAAGTAAACAAAACCTCCAGACTTGCATTTACTGGATTTAATGCTCACATAAGCAAACACAATGTCATTCACAATTTTATCACAACTCTATGATAATGTCTCCATTATGCACATTTTCAGTATGCCAATTTGCCAATATGACCTAATTTTATTTTAATGTTATCCTAACAATTTACACAAACGGATTTTTTTTCTTTGTGGGTAAAAGGGTAATGATGAAAATGAAATAAAGCTTTCCTAAAGTGAAAATGTGTATAAGAATAAAAAAAAAGGCACTAGTGCGCAAACAATTTTGAGTTTCATTGAAAGTAACACTATTTCTTACCTAGTTAAAGGTTCATTTCAACTCAACACCCCCCTCCCCCCCATGGCAAAGGGACCCATAAATCTTTTTTGACACACATGTGGTGGCATCACGTTACTTATAGTCCATTGATTTCTTCTTTCAGGTTTGGAATGGTAGGGTTTTACCCAGGTAAGGACCTGGGAGAACAGTCTAAAGAATCTGTGCATTAAACCCACTATACACTGTTCACAGTTGAAATGCTTTGTAGGCTCCAAATGCACTTTTTAATCCTTTACAAGCCCAGAGGTGCCTCATATACAGTATCTTACCATCCTTTCTCACTGGGTGAACTGCCGTAAGTGATTGTTGTAACTGATTTTAAAAAATGCAACTAAATACATGAAAGGATTAGTTAAATACAATGGGGTAAATTTACTAAAACTAGAGCTTGCAAAATCTGATGCAGCTCTGCATAGCAACCAATCAACTTCCAGATTATTGTCAAAGCTTAATTGAACTATCTGAAGTTAGAAGCTGATTGGCTACCATGCATAGCTAAACCAGATTCTGAGTGCTCCGTTTTAGTAAATCTTCTCCTATGCTTCCATTTTATCACACAGGAGTTGCTCAAGCAAGCCTAGATGTGTTAAAGTCTTTCTTATTACCCATGGTCGCCAGCTTACTGCACCCACAGACTGCTGCCAACCAGCTGCCGCCCTCCACCCTCACTCTACCCCTACAGAAGGACTCAAATGACTCTCCCATGGTAACACAGATTCCCCACACACCTTGCCCTGACCTGTATCCCTTCACCTCCCCTGACCCAACTGTCACCGCACCCACCCCAACATGCCTCCTGCACTCCTCCTCCTCATTTTCCTCTCCACCATCCCAAAAATCGCCTCCCTCTACCCGCCTACCCCCCCAAAACAGCTCTACATTGCCCCTTCACTACTCCCCTCTCCCCACTACGGCACTCACCACCTCTTCCTGCTACTCCACTCCCCCGTCGACCCACGTGCCACCACTATCAGACCCACACGCTCCTACACTTCCCATTCCCATGCCACCTTCCTCACCCTTCTCCTTCTCCTATCTGCTGGGGACATCTCCCCGAACCCTGGCCCCTCGCCACCTCACCCCTCCTCTAGGGACCCCCCTGCTCCCGCCAGCTGCCGTAACCCCCTCAACCTCATATCTGTGCCCCTTCTTCTCCCCGCATCCATCCCCCCTCTCTCGGTTGCACTCCTGAACGCCCGCTCGGTCTGCAACAACTTACTGCCATCCATGACCTCTTTATCTCCCGCTCCCTTAACCTCCTAGCCATCACCGAAACCTGGGTACAGGCCACTGACTCCACCTCCCCTGCGGCACTCTCCTATGGAGGTCTCGTCTGGTCCCATTCACCAAGACTGAGCGGTCACAAAGGTGGTGGGGTCGGCCTGCTCCTATCACCGCTGAGCACCTTCCAGGTCCTCCCTAATCCTCCCTCCCTAACTTTCTCCTCCTTCGAGGCTCACTGCATCCGGCTCTTCTCACCCACACCCCCCTAAGGATCGCAGTGATCTACAGGCCTCCCGGATCCATACCCCGCTTCCTGGATGACTTCGCTGCCTGGCTTCCCTTCTTCCTCTCCTCTGAGCTACCAACCATCATCCTCGGGGACTTCAATATCCCCATCAATGACAACAGCCCGCTACTTCCCAATTCCTCCACCTAACCTCCTCCTCCTTCGCGCTCACACAGCACACTCAATCCTCCACCCACATCATTGGGAACACCCTGGACCTCGTCTTCTCCCACCTCTGTACCCTCAACCAGTTCTCTAACCCCCCTTCCCTCTCTCCCGACCACCACCTCCTCACGTTCTCCATCTCCCCTTCCCCTAACTCCCCCCCCCCCAGAGCGCCAAACCATCACCAGTCGCAACCTTCGCAACCTGAACCCCGGCCCCCCTCCACTCAGCTGCCGACCGCCTACACGACAGAATCCTTCCACTGTCTTGTCCTGACCTAGCCACCAACACGTACAACGACTCACTATCAGCTACCCTAGACTCTCTGGCACCCCTAACCACACGCTACATCAAACCCAGACCGCTCCAACCATGGCAGAACGACCACACTAAATGCCTCAAACGTCGCAGTCGTGCGCTGGAGAGACTATGGCGCAAAACCAAAAGGTCCCCCCGTTCATTCTCCCTCTACAAATCTGCCTTCCTCACTTACACCTCCTCCCTCCACGCCGCCAAGCAGGCTTACTTCGTAAACCTGATTAACACCCTCTCCTCCTGCCCTCGCCGACTCTTCTCCATCTTCAACTCCCTGCTCTCTCCCCCCCCTCCTCCACTCAGTACCTCACTCACCGCCCACGAGATTGCCACTCATTTCCACAATAAAATTGATGCTATCCGTCAGGACATAGTCAACTCGCAATCTACCTCCCCACCTAGCCTCCCCCCCCCTATCTCCCCCTCATCTCTTCCTTCCTCTGACCTCGCAACCGCACTGCCCCCCTCCACACCCAAGACCCCGCTTACCGTAACCCCACCAGCTCTGCACTCCTTCAGCCCCGCTACCACTGAGGAAGTCACCAGGGTCTTCTCT